ACTCTTGGCACAGGTAGCGGTATTTTGTGCAGCAATAAAAAAGGTCAGTGGGGGAAACCCTTTCTTGCCTCTCAGTCCCTTCTATACTTTCCCTAGCAAATTCGTGATTTGGGGAGTAGGCAAAAAAAGAAGAAACAACAACAGCAACAAATAATGTTCACAGAGCAGGCTGCGGTCTGCAACTGCCTGTATTTCTATTAATATAACTCTGTCTTACTTTCCCCGCATCTGCATCATAACACTGTTGAACTCCTCAAAGGAGACCTCGCCGTCGCCGTCCTCGTCTGCCTCGGCGATCATCTCCTGCAGCACATCGTCGCCAGGGTTCTCGCCCAGGAGTTTGGCCACCTCCTTCAGGTTGGCAAACGAAATCTTTCCCTTCTTGTCGAGGTCAAACAGCTGAAATGCCTTCAGTATCTCCTCCGGGGAGTCCTTCTGTGCCATGCGCGACTTCACCACGCGCTCAAACTCGCCGTACCCAATGAGCCCCTTTGAGTCAGTGGACATCGTGCGGATCATACGCTCCACCTCGTCGCGCGGCAGGTCGCCAAACCCGAGCCCCTTCATCGCCAGCGCCATCTCCTCCGCATCAATGGCGCCTGAGCCGTCGGCATCAAAGAGGTTGAATGCCTCACGGATCTGTTCGTCTGTAAGAGCCGCCATAGATGGTTATCCTTGCTTCCGAAAGAGTGACCCGCAGAAGAAAAAAAAAACAGCAAGCAAACAAGAACAAAACAGGAGAAGAATGTGTGGAGCGCCATCCTATCCTCCAATCCCTACACGCAGAGTAGCAAACGTTATCCTACTTCCATCACATTTCATCGGTGTGTGGTGCAGTAAGATCTAAAAAGCAAAACAATGTTGTCTTCACTCCACTTTCGGTCGCACTTTTTTTATTGCGTAAAAATGGCCTGCTAACTTGATACGATTGGCCGGATCCCGCGCACGCCTTTCGTGCGAGGACGGCGGAAGGGGCGCCGTCGCCCCTGCAGAAACACCATCCACCCCTTTTGTTTTTTTTTTGTTGATTCTCCCCACGTATTGTGGCGCCTCCTGCCGCCTGTCCTCAAAAGCGCTCCTCCACGTTCTGCACCGCGAGGTACAAAATAGTGCCGACGATCGACCCCACCGCCTCAGAGGCCCAATACACCCACAGCGATGCCATGGGCGTGCAACCGGACTCGGAGAATGAAACAAAGCAACGGACAACTATCAAGGCGGTGGCAACGGCGGGGTTAAAGGCCCCACCGGAAATCGACCCACAGGTCAATCCACCCACAAGTACGGCAGAGCCTATAGCAAAACCGTAGAAATTATTATTGCGTTGCTTGCTCACGGCAACGTGCAGTACGACGGACGTTAAGACGAAAGTAAAGACGCTTTCAGCCAAAAATGCTCGCAGCATTTGCACAAAGTTCAGACCCATATTCGGTACGGGAAACTCATTACCGTGAAGCAGGACGCAGTAGAAAGCAGCAGCCACCCCACCAAGCATCTGTGCAAGAAAGTAAAAGAGCATGCGGGTCTTTCCAAAGTTGGCGCTGCTAAGAAACACCGCGAATGAGACCATTGGATTCAGGTGTCCTCCGCTCATGTATCCGAAGGAGAACACCAGCGACATGAGCAGGAAGCCGACGGAAAAAGGAGCCATCTCGGGGTTGTTGATGCTGCTAAGAGGGACGGTAAGCACCAGCAGAAAGGTTCCTATAAACTCCACAATCACGGCGGACTTAAACTCGTTAACGTAGCACCGCCGCAGGAAAGAGAACCGGGCCACACCAATGGGAGGGACGACGACGCTGCTGACGCCAGGATCCGCAGTGTCAAGCTGCGTCGTCGCAGTGTCAGGCTGCATCGTCGCAGTGTCAGGCTGCATCGTCGCAGTGTCAGGCTGCATCGTCGCAGTGTCAGGCTGCATCGTCGCAGTGTCCGTTGATAGCATCTTGTCTCTTTATTCCAAACTTCCACCAGAGTGAACGAACAAGCAAGCAAGCAAGCAAAAAGCAAAAACAAAAAAGTTCATCAGCAAGCGAAAAGCGAGGGAAAGCGGAACCCACCCAACAACAAGAAAGCCATATGTCTGTGTTCCACCGTCTTCCTTTTCCAAACGACGCCACGCAAAATTCCTCCCAGGAACATATTGACAATCTCAAGCAACACAAATATACACTCGGCTTAATGATTAAATTGCAGGACGGCAAGTAGAGAGACGACGACGACGAAGAGAAAAAAGTAAGTAGAGCAAAGAAGAAAACCAAAAGACAAAAAAAAAAGGACAGATGCAGCACATCTATTGCTATCCCTCTTTTTATTTCTCACGCTCTCCATTTTCTTTCTTTCATCGCTCGGTTTTGCGTACGTTTACATATGTCCGCGTGTCTGCCCTGCCCGCACAGCCGCAGCCGGCCTCAAGCAACGTCTAGTAGTGTCACCTCAAAAACGATTACAGTGTCGGGGGGGATCATGCCGGGGAAGCCGGTGGATCCAAATGCCAAAGACGGTGGCATCGTCAAACGGCTCCGCTCGCCCTTTGACATCTGCACAATCCCCTCATCCCAGCCCTTGATGACCTCACCACAGCCCACACGGAACACAAACGGTTTTCCACGCTCGATGGTGGAGTCAAACTTTTTGCCATCTGGCAGAAACCCGACGTAGTCAAGAGTCACAATGCTTCCTTTATGCGGAATCGTCTTACCATCGCCCTCGATGATTTTGTCCATGAGCACACAGTCATTCGCAGGCATTTTCCTGTTTTCGTTCTTTCTCGACTGCGCAATAAAGGCGTTATAGTAATTGCCCCTGCTTTTTTTTATTGCTCTGTGTTTTTTTAACTTTTTGCTATGCTTCTCCCTTGTTCTCTATTTTATGTGGATTCTTCCTTGTGGAGGTGGATACCACCCACACTTGCGGCAACTGCTGCCCCCGGCGTCCATTCCCCCACAGAAGCTAAACTGCGAGAGAGACAAAAAGAAGAAAGAAAAAAAAAAGTAATCGCACGAGAAACACGAAAAGGGCAATGTTATCTGTCATTTTTTTTACTTTAGTTTTTGTTTTATTTTAGCGAACGTGGGCTGTTGTGGCTTGGGGACGAGGGAACAAGTTATGCCATTACACCAATAAATTATTTGCGTTTTCGCCTCCCGACCCCCCAACCCCATGAGTGTTTATTCTTGCCCGTCTCTGCCCCTCCACTTCAGTGTGCCGCCGCTGCACGCACAGCCGCCCAACGCGTATACTTCTCAACGGCGGTGGACGCAGCAGCCTCAACCGGACACGAAGAACTCATTCAGTTTCATCTCGCTTATACTTCCACCCCGTGTTAGTTGCGGTATATCGTCTCCGTGCGGTGTTTATTCGCCGCTTATATTGTTCTGTTTTTTTTTGTATGTTCGCAGTTACTGTAGAACATGGAGGGATCGCAAAAGTAAAAAAAAAAACAATAAAAAAAAAGAACCATAAAAATGTAGAGGAAGAGAAAACAATAAGAAAAAACGTAAAAGAAAAAAATGAAAATGATACGCATGCCTCTTTGAGAGAACATCTACGTATGGTCCATCGTATATATATATATATATGTGTGTATATGTGTATATATAAACGCGTGTATATAAATGCGTCTAGATAGAGGTGTGCATATTATATATATATATATATATCCCAGCAAGTATATACGGGCCACAATCAGAAGAAAGCAAGGTATATATACACATATGGGGAGAGTGATGCGTTACAAGAAAGGTGGGGAGGGTGCAAGTGTGTGCCAACATCTTCAGTAGATAGTCTCGTCCCCTCATTACAGTTACTTTCCACTGTGTCCAGAAGCAAATGCCAGCAACAAGGGCTGATGGAATAAGTTCTCAATACGACCTTCGTTTGCAACACATGCGATTCCACGCTCTTCCAGAGGAAAGTCATGTGCGTTCGTGTCTTCCGTCTGTTTCTTTCCATTCCTTCTGTATTTTGGGGAGAAACGCTTTTTCTTTTTTCTTCACTTCCTCTTTTCTTCTCACTTGCGGCTGAATGTAAGTTGCTCAGATCCCGTGAGCAATGGTGTTTTGGAGGTGACACCCCACGTTGCTCGCTGCTGAGGCCAAGTTGCGAGCACGCATGGCTGCAAACCCGTCGTCGATAACTCCATTCACCCACATTCAGGCTGTGACACTTGCACTTCACAACGGTGCACATAAATTACGTCAGTCGACATTATCATTGTCACTCCTTTTCATTGTTCCACCACCACCAGTTACATGCTAGCTCTTTTAGATTACTTCCATAGGACGCACGATTCAGTGCTGGAATCCGCCAAGGTAGCTTCCACATTCCCCAATTCGCGAAGCGAAAACAAAACAAAAAAAAGATTTTCGTTTATATTTTTATTATTACCTTTCCGTACGCAAGAAGGCCCCCTCCCTCGCCACGTGTTAGTCAAAAGAGGTGGAGTAGAGTCCGATGGGAGGAGCAAAGCAAACACAAAAAGAGTAGAAAAAAAAGCAATACTTTAGGGTGGGAGAATATATGAAATTGGAGAAGTGAAGGAATAGGGATTATGACGCCATAACCCCCGCAATTGCTGGCAATTTTTCCATCTTTGAAATGGGAATTGGGACGACGGAGATGAAGTCGGAGATGGAGACATGGAAGTATGGGTCGTTGAGACTGTGGACCACGACACCGACGTCGTAGCTGGGGAAGCCGCAGAATTTGGCGTTTCCACAACCAATGTGCCACGTGGCAATTGCTTCGACCTCCCTGCTAGATTTCCTCGGGCAGTGGCGAGGGCGAAGAGCTGTTCTTTGCTTCTGGGCGGGACCAGCCAAACCCCTTCCACGTGATGCACTTTGTCAAAGAAGACACGATGGTGATAGGAAATAACCTCTGAGGCTGCACCGTCCCGCAAAGTTAACCACACGCATCCCTTCCCCCGCTTAGAAGTTCTGTTTCGGTGGTTTTCTACGGCAACAAGTAACTCGGAAGGTATCTCCAAAACCGTCCGTAAAAGCCACTTAATCATCGGTACTGTGCCATCACGGCGCAGCTGACCAATGAAAATGCGCTGTTCACTACAAAATGGGCTCTCACATGTTTTGACATTCGCCGGAGAATCAGACAACGGTCCATACTTTAACAATTCACACGGCCTACGCGTAGGATACAGCTCAGCTTCCACTTTCGCCTCATTCGCCATGAGGTCTTCGTGACAAGGAATAAAAAGAACGGGCGCTTCACTGTGAGGCAGTCGGCACACCGTCACAAAAGACAATGAAAGTGAAAGAAACTGCTTGCTTACGCCTCTCATCTGCAGCACAGAACGCCATGACATAAAGCTTAGTACGTGATACAAGATGTCGTCTTGGAGAAAGCCACTTCCAACGACGCGTTGAGCCTTCTCTTTGCCGTGAAAGGGGTGCTTGGTCTGCCCAACAACGCTGTCAGACTCTCCAGATGGCGGTGCAGTAACATCCACATCGGACTTTTTTTTCAGCTTTTCTGTCAAATGGAGCGGAGCAGACTTCATATCCATCAGACCCATCTCGAGAACAAGACGCTCAGTACTCAACATGCCGTGCTCCCCTCCGCTGTACCCTGACGCGGTTTCAGCAATAAGGTGCAACATGGAATCCCTTATTTCGCTTTTCCCCGTACGTGTCGAAGCTCCTCGTGTTGCCCTATGATGTGCCTCTAAACCTCCACCGCGGACTTGGATTTCTCTCATCCTTCCTTCGCTTCCTGTGCTCCTGTTCCTCATTTGCAGCAAGAAACGAAAGAAATCCCTTTTCCCTCACTTCTTTAAAAGGACTACAGAAGAAAAATTGACGGTGCGTGTTTTTTGTTGTTGTTGTCGTTGTGTTCAAGAAGAAAAAACAACAACACACACACACACACACACAAAGAAAAGGGGGGGAAAATAGTATATTGGAGTTAGGCACAGTTGTTTAAAAAGAAGAAACGTGCAACGTGAAGCAAAAACACACTACAACAAATATATAAACGAAGCCTCAATTGTCGTGGCCCTAGTATCGTGGGGAAATAAGGTCTAGAACTTCCTTTCCAGGCATAGAGTGCAAGGAGCGTTCCCCGGCAAGAGCCCTCTCTGTCTCCTCAAGCTTTGCACCGCTGCTTTGCCCGCAATCCGTGATCCATGCACGACTCACCGGCACGCCACAGCGTGACCCACACAACGCCGCCACTCGCTCCACCAGATCCCATCCTTCCAATACTTGTCCGCATACGACATACTTCCCATCCAAATGCTCATTCCGTCTTAAATTAAAGAAAAATTGTGAACCATTTTGGTTGGGTCCACTGTGGGCCATGGCGACCGTACGTGGAAGATGCTTTCCTGCTTTTCCGCCAAAACTCTCATCTGAAAAGGGAAAACCAAAAACACTAACATTGCCGCGACCATCCTTTGTCAAAATGTCACCACCTTGTACGATAAATCCGGGTATGATTCGATGAAAAGGAACCCCTTTGTAATACAAAGGACATTGACTATGACCACGTTCGCCTGTGCATAGTGAACGAAAATTTTCGGTAGTTTTAGGTACTGTATCATGAAAAAGCTCCACAGTTACCCGACCCAATGCTTCTCCTTCCACCGTGATTTCAAGAAAGACGACTGGGTTAATTTCATTCATTGGATACGACAAAAAACTGCGCAATGCACCTCCGTGAGCCCTCCGCACCAAACGCGTCAAGCAAAGCATAGATTTTGGCTAATAAAGGGCTCCTCTTAAAGAATATATATATATATATATATATCACAAGTTCTACCTTTTATTATTAAC